TTCCAAGTCTGTAGGTGGTTATGAGCCGGTTCTGCTGTTGATGTGGTTTTAGTATAACTGTTGGAGCTGGAATATGTTACCTTTACAGTCCGATTTTGAATACTATTCAGTGACTGCATCCTTAGTATTCCTGTAACAATATGTACAGGACTTTAAAAAAATTTTTTTAAGAACCTGAAAGTAGGTTTGGAAAATGTTTGTGAGGAGATGGTGGTGGTTGTTGCTATCACAATTGTTTTTCACCCATGGAAGTGTCTGAAGTCTGACTTAGTCTCCTGGAGCATATATGTTGTGTTGATGAGGCACGTACTGGTCTTCTTCTCCTGTGGAAATATTTGAGGCTTCATTAGTTTTTGGCCATTCCATTTTGGAATACAAATAGGACTTTTAATTCCCACCGCCATCCCTTCCAGGAAAAAAAGTGAGCAAGTCTGGGGGAAGGAGGAAGATAAAGAGCAAAGAAGAGGCTGTAGTTCTGCCGTATGCTAAGAATGACTGTAGGGCTTCCTAAATCAGATCAGAAACAACGTGGCATGTCTGTGCTCAGATTTGAGCCAATATATATTGTCAGTTCAGATTTGTTCAGAAACAGTTCTGTGTTAATGTTTTTGTGCTGCTGGCCTTCACTCCTGACCAGGTGCTGTCCGTTTGTTTTAGAAGGCTTCTTACTGCACCTTCTACAGCTGTCCACCTGCCCTTTTGTCAGCTCTGTCTCCTGGTCTGCTCCCAAATCCCTGCTGGTCTCTGGTAGAATGTCACTCACCTGCATTAAAAACCACGTTTCCAACCCTTCCTCCCTTTCTTTTTAGACATTTGCTGCTGCTGGGCCTTCCTTTCCCCACCTTGGCTTTCCTCTAAGGGGATACAGGGGATTGTCCCTGTCATAAGGACAATGACAGATGCTTAGGACAACAGTTCAGTTCCCAGAATCTGGGCTTTTTGAGTTCCCTGCAGTTCTCCAGAGATATCTGGGGTTGAGGGAAGAAGAGACTTCCATGAGGACTGGTCAAAACTAACTCTTTGACCCTTACTCTGTCACTGTTCAGGGCATATTTCCCGGTGTGTTTTGCCAAAGTAACACTAGTGTTGCAAGCCCTGCTGCTCCTGGGCCCTGCACTGCTGTACATACACTGCTTGCTTTTGTTCAGTTCACGAGCAAAAATGCAAACTTCCCTTTTCCTGCTTAGAAAATCCTAAGTGTGCCCAAACCTGGTCAGTGGAGGATACAGGTGTGTGCCTCAGCCAAGTGAGTGACTTGTATCCTGCAGGCATGGGAGCAAGAAAGCTCAATGATGCTTTGTCACACAAATTGGTGTAATGTCCAGAACAAATGGATTATTCTCTTGCCTCCAGACAGCAATTATGTATATTATGTATATTGTCAGCCTATATGCAGATGTATAGATATAAGGTACAGTGTAACTGGGGCCCAACAGTGGTAATGAGAACATCTGGAAGCATCTGGAACATATGTTGCCTTCTGTATTGTTCATCTCTTCTGCACATTTGGCCCTTTCGTTGTCTTGCACAGCTTCTGTACTGGAGCAGTATTTCGTAGCTGCCAAATATCAAGTTCTGATAGAGCAGCTGTGGTCAGCAGGATTCCAGCTGAGCTTGGGACACAATGGTTGTGGTGGTTTTGGCAACCAGCCAGTTGCCCTAAGCACTATCTCAGTTTCTCCTTTTTATAGTTCACACAGTTTATGTCCTGATTCTTCTTTGGCATATATATTTTTAAGTTCCCATGCTGTTGTTTTCTTTAGGTCTTTAAACTTTCTGTTTCAGTGCAATCTGAAAGCCAGGAAGACAATGGCTGTTTGATTCTGTGGAGCTAAAGAATAGGCAGTCAGAAGTAGCATGACTGAGTTACACCAGTACATAAAGTAGGTGTGTCTGGGGGGTGTCTGCTTTACTGCTCTTCTTTTCCCCCACCCTCCATGCATGTTCACATACAGATGATGCAACCAATAAAAATTCCAACAAGCAACTCTAAAACATTTCCTGAAAGTAGTCAAGATGCAGATTCCTTCATTTCTTTCAGTTGTTGTGATGGAGTTGGGAGCCTCTGGAAGATGCTGGTGATGATGCAGGTGTAGCTGGTGTCTTCAGATGATGCAGGTCCATAAATGCCCATACCTGCTTCTCTTTGCTCTTTCAGGCATGGTCTTGGATACAGCAGGCAGACAAGGTCCTGAGTGGAATTGTAGGCAAGAGTTGGGTCGGATCCCAAGCTTCAGATAGCTAAGTGCTCAGCCCATGGCCATGAGGCAACAGCTGAGGTGATAACTCAGTAGTTTCTGGAGAATGGGTGAGGTGTGTTTCCCTCATCCCAAATTAAAAAAAAGAAATGTGAGGGGAAAATGTAAGTGAAGGTAGCAGTTAAGCAGACTGCAGTGCCATCCTGCAGCAGTGGCAGTGACAGCCTCACTTGATGACGAGAGACAGTGCAAGCTGTCTTGTGTGCATGAGCTTGCTCAGGCTGGACATGAGGAACATGCAGTTGCCTTGCAACTTGCCAAGCTACCTGGCACTGCTGTTGATACAGTATGCCTGATGGTCTAAGCAGCTTTCAAGATGGCAGAATAAATCCATTCCTGCATCCCTACGGTCCTATCATGTGCATGGGTGTGTGGCCAGCCAGTGTAAATGGGAAACTGCAAGCAGCTAACTCTTGCCCCGGCCTCTTTTGAACGCATTTCCTGGAGACGACACGTGCCTGAGGCTTTACAAGTGGCTCCTGTTTCCCCAACCCTGAGCCCCCTGGCAGCAGAGTGATGTGGGATGTGTCTTCCCAGCCTCTGAAGGACTGAGCCAGCCCCTTCCTTGATACTCAACCAGATTGTTTGAATGTCACCTTCCCCATCCTGAAGTTCTGCCTCCGCTTGCGATCCTTCCACATTTCTACCATGACATTTTGCTGCCAGTCTGTGATCAGTCTCAGGGGGTGCATGGAAAGAATGACGATTGAAATATTTCTTCATTTTATTCGTATAACTTTTACTCTCAGGGGTTTCTTTTGTGGTTGGTTTTTTTTGTTATTTCTCTGGTATTTAAGTCATTAAAGGTGTTGCCCACTGTGGGGTTTCCCTGTTACAGCTTCCTGCTCTTACTACCATGACTTCATTTGTAGCCACAGCTCGGTTATGGGCAGCCACCACCATTCTAACCACCCCGTTGCCCAACCTGTGTGTTGGTCACCTCAGCCAGAGGTAAGAAGTCACACTTTAGAAACACATGATCGCATGTGTGTATTTTTAACACGCGTAAGCAATATTTGAAGGGGGACAGTGGACCGTGCTGCCACTATTTTTTTTTTTTTAATGCGCCACACCATGCATTAAGTACAGAGCTGCGTGCTGAAAGCTGCAAGAACTTTGAGCTGCTGTGGGATGCAGAAGCACAGGTCTCAGCTGGTTAGCTGCTTCCAGCCAAGCAGAGGTTTCTGCTGAGAGCCAGCACGTGCTGCCGAGTAGGATGGCTCCCCCGCCATCAGGTGCTGTCACCTTGCAGCTCTGGAGTTGCACATCGTCCTGATTTCACCTCCTTCATTTCAAAGTTCATTACTTGGAGTCAAATACAGCTTGCCAGTTTTACTCTAGAGTTTCAGAAGAATGCTGAGGGAAGTATGGTAGCTCACACATTTAACATGGTGACCGGTGAAAGCCCTTACTCTGCAGCCTTGCTTTAAATAGTGTTAGGTAAAGCACTGTTCACAATGTCATTAGCTGCCAGCATGTTGTCACTGCTGCCAGTGAAGGAACAAGTAGGGGTGGCAGGTGGCAACAAGAAGTCAGCAAGGAAATAGGAGTGTCTCTCTCAGGCTAGGAATAACTTGCATTTCTGATGCAAGCAAAGCAAAAATGCCATCTTCTCACCCACTCCCTTTTTTTCCACATCTTTCTCTTTTTGTTTTTCTGCATGCTGTGCCCAAACTTTCTAATTGCTGCACTGGTTTTGAAATGATATTTTACTCTGATTTACACATTTTTCACATCACTTACTGAAGTATTAAGAGTAGAATAATGAGCGCTTGCCTTCCTGTGTGCTAGCAGCTGATTTTTCAACATAATTTAATTTTGCCTGAAGTATAATCTTTATAACAGTGGATACCTGATCATACATTCACTTCTCAGCACCCCTGGAGACAAATTTCATGCTGACCATTCAAATGAGTATTATCATGCAAGTAGTAACAAAACTAACTGGGAATAACTACGTTATGTGTAGGCGTGAGAACCATAATGATTCTGATAAATTCCCACGTTACAAACCAGGCTGCTTGATTTGATTCAGTACTTGTTTTAATGGGAACAAGGTGATCCAAGAGGAATTTTTCTTGATACTGTTTTGCTTCATGGAAACTATATAAAAGCTATTTGTAGTAATGGCAACTTAGTATTACATATTTAGATCTGGAGCAGTGGTAAGGGAGGGAAGCCAAGTTTAATAACCAGGAGCATTATTTTGTCTTCATTTCACTGAGGGGGTTCCCAAAGCCCGGGAGACCTTCCAGAAATAGATGATAAACTTTGGGATTAATGTGATAGACTGTTACCCTTGTCATTTTCTTATCTGTATAGTCATGCATACCTATGTGATGGATTACTTATGTATAGAGAGGAGTATAAAATATTTTCCATCTCAGTTGCCTCTAGTATCTTCAGGCCATGTATCTAGTTCCAATCTTGGTACAGACAATTAAGCCCCTAGGCAAACCAAACCAGAATTATTTGATTTTGAAATACACTTCAAAAACTCAAAGTTGTTTGTATGGCATCTTTTATGTTTCTTTGCTCCTGTTTTTCTTTAACTTGACTTTGTGCTTGTTGGAACCTTAAAAGCGTAAAATAGAAGGGTTTGGAAGCAGCAGAATAACTTCCTTATAGTGTGTGGTTCCCTAAAAATGACATCAATAAAATAATTAATCTCTATGCCTGGGAGCTATCATATGATTTTACTCTGATGTATGCTTTTTTTGTTTGTTTTTTTCTCTATTTCAGGACAAACAAACAAAGTAGCCAAGGAGGCAGTCAATAGATGGACTGGTTTGTATCCATTTATATTGCTTAACACAGCTTCAGACTAGAGGAATTTGAGTTAAGAATTGTTAAGAATTTTAAATTTCATTAAGACTTAATATAGGATAGCCCTGAATTACAAAAACATGCAGCAATATATTTTGCTTGTAAATCATCGTGATACAAAAAATAATGCATGTTGTCAGTTTTGTTAGTGAATGCAACACAACAGATTTGTTCTTCTGGTAGTATCTTGGACATCATGTTAAAACTGGCAGCTAAAACCGGTTGAGTTTAAATCTCTTAAGACAAGGAAAATTTTAATAGAAAGAGACTGGAAATAGTGGTGGTTAGTTTGGCACTGTCATAATTTGTCAGGGCTTTCTACTTTGATGACAGGCTGTGGATCTCAAGGTCTTGAGAGAAGTAAGGCAGTAGAAGGTACTTTGCTATTTAATTGGACGGTTAGGTTATATGCTGTAGCATATTTTTCTTTTGGAGAGATATTTTTAAAACCAAGTGTCTTAGGTTAGAGAAAATAAAATATTTCTAAGGTGTGCAGACGCAGTGACTACTTCCTGTCTGAAGGAATGCTGCAATTTATGGGTGTTAGCAATGAAACGGTGAGTTTTAATCAATACTGCAGTGAAAAATGATGTTAAATTGAAAAGAATGTATATGCTAAAATAATAGTAATGTAATTCCAGAAGAGAAATGGTGACTAAAAACTACTTGAATCTTTTTTTTTCTCTTTTATTTACTGTCAAATAACATATATATTATCTGAACAAACATATGCAGGAATAGAAAGAACCTTATGGTTAATTTGGATCTGTTTTTCGCAGTTTTAGACAGTCACACATAGGTGTCTAGTTGAAAAAGGACCTATTAAAAAATACTTATTATGCATATTCACACTTTCCCTATCACTCTATAGTAGGCTTACACTGTAATTGTAGCTTTCAGTCTTCTCATGGAAGAGGAGCAAGAAAAGATCAAGGTGACCTCCAAAAAAGAAGATATATTTTACTTAGTACTGAGTAAAAATATGTCATTAACAAAAGCCTCCCATTTTCTATGCTAAATCTTCTTAGTAATGATGTTCCCCAGTATGTACCTTTTCATGTACACAGAGAAAGTGCAAATGAAAGGATTTTGTTGTGGCCAAGAATATGATTTATGCTTTCCTAAACATTAAAAACTGAATGTTTTTCATTCTATTTGCAGATAACATCTTTTCAATAAAGTCCTGGGCCAAACGTAAATTCGGTTTTGAAGAAAGCAGAATTGACAAAAGTTTTGGAATCCCAGAAGATTTTGATTACATTGATTAGTGTTGAGTAGTTGATGGCTGACACAGTTGTACATAGTTTGTTAAATATTCTCAGTTGGCATTTAAATGTGTATATGAATCCTCTCTGAACAACTGACCACCCTTTAATTAGCAGGTTTTGTTAAAATTAATAAAATTCTTAAAATATTTGTGGAATTTCCTTTTTTTTCCTTGTATACTCTATGGACAGTAAATCACTTGGTTCCTTCTACGAGAGACAAACTAAGAGTAGACAGGGGTTATAGGGAATAGTTATCACAGTGTCTTGAGACTGGTGTTTTACTCTCCTTTTGCTTAACTGGAAGTAGTACTAAGAGCAGGAAGCTCCACGAATTTATGTTTAAACATGTTACAGACATTGGAGTGGAAATGACAGGAGACATTATGGAATAGAGAGAATTTCTTCCTCATTGCAACAATGAAATACAAAAGATGCAGAATCCATTAATGGCAAACAGTGAAGACAACCAGGATGTGAGTGGAAAGGCTGAGGTCTGATTTCACGTTGTCCTTTCTTGCGTTGCTAGAATGGCTTGTAAGTTTAGTGACAAAATTTTGTTTAGTTCATCAGAGCTAAATGTGTTCCATTGGTGGATTTGACACCAAGGAAGCTTCTCTGTTCAAGATGGTCACTGCATGGGAGAGGGAGCAAAGAGCACCTACCCTTCCATTTGCACCAGAGTGCACCAGGAGTTAGGATGCTGAACTGGGATGCAAGAGACCAGATTCAATTTGCCGTTCAAATTGAATTGAAGATGCTGAGCATCTTCGGGTTTATGTGCATTTTTCAACTTCAGACTGAAAAAGCAGCCAACCGAAATAATACATTTCAGAATATCTCATTTTTGTTTGGTGAAATGTCACAAGCACCTCACTTTTTATCAGCTTCTGGTTTCTAGCTCTGGTAAATGCCTGGGTACAAAAAGAGGGGTGGAGAGTACAGACTGGTTTCATACCTCCCACAGCCATGGATTGGAAGAGATTTCTGCTGTACAGCTCTGGAGGTATCAGCTGCCAGGTAGGTGTGTGTAGTACTGGAAAGTGTCTGTCTGTCTTTTATGGAACATCTGATGAGAGTATTGCTGAAAAGGTGACGTTTATCTGGAAATACACTCGGAAATCTGTCTCCTGTGACCTTTCCAATTAAAAGGCAGTTCAGGAGCTTGTTAAAATCCAAGGATTTCAGGTGTGCCCCTGGCTATTGTCATCCATGTCTATGAAGACAGCAAAGTTATTGGGAAGCTACCAAGTGGAAGAATTCCCTCTTCTAGAGGTAGCGTAGCAAGCTATCTGCTGCCTAAAGGAAAATGTATGTGATGCCTGGCACATAGTAAAATGTCACTGTGCTTACTGTTACAACACAAATATGGTTAGGGGCCTGGATCATCTCTCTAACAAGGAAAGCCTGAAGGACTTGGGTCTTTTTAGTCTGGAGAAGAGAAGGCTGAGGGAGAAACTGATCAACACCTGTAAATACTTAAAGGGTGGGTGTCAAGAGGATGGGGCCAGTCTTTTATCAGTGGTGCCCAGTGACAGGATAAGAGGGAATGGGCACAAACACGAATGTAAGAAGTTCCATCTAAACATGAGTAGAACTTCTTTACTTTGAGGGTGGCAGAGGTGGTGGAGTCTCTGTCTCTGGAGACATTCAAAACCTGCCTGGACACGTTCCTGTACAATCTGCTCTAGGGGGACCTGCTTTGGCAGGGGGTTGGACTAGATGATCTCCAGAAGTCCCTTCCAACCCCATGTGGTTCTGTGATTTTCTTTTCTATGTTTGAAAAGAATTTATTCCTAATATATCCAGTACTTAACATGTGTTAGTAATTGAGTAACAGCTTACCAGCTGCTAACTGGTAAAAGCTTAATGCAGGTAGGTAGTACTGAGCTGAATGCAATGTTTCCTACCAGGACTGGATTTTGCCCCATGACTGGAGTGCTGTCCACCCAAGGTACGTGATGGTGCCAAGCCAAAGCATCGATCTACAAGTAGCTTGGGTGGTTATTCTTACTCTGGAATATTGTGCTGTGAAAAATTAAAGCAAGCGCTTTTTCTGTTCTTTGTAGAATATCTCTCTGCAGTGATATATATTTTTTTTTTTGCTAAATGTTTCTTTTTTTACTTTTTTCTGTGAATCTATTCTGTACCACCGGAAAGGTGACAGAAGCTCCTTGGCACATCTGCATTTGGGAAGCATGTATCTGTCACACACAAGAGAGGATGAAGACTCAAAAGGCCTGTTCATATGAAGGAACGTTGAGCACGTGAGGTTGCTGATGGTTCTTACCTCTTAGAATCACTTTCACATGGCTGAACTTCTACTCATCAAGGAATCTCGGGTGATTTATGGCCTGTAGCAGTTAGTGCACCAAGACTTCCTCTGGTACCTGTGGGGATGAGGGTTTCTTACTAATTTTTACTCCTTTGGCTACTTTCCAAATTCAAGAAGGAAATGAGGATGACCAGCTATGTAAGTTTAGCTGCAATATTGTGGCTTCCTGTATGTAGGGTGAAAACATTGTGAACTGTCATAAAAGCATTAAATATAATATATAGCAACTAAATAACTGTATTTGGGGTAGACTTGCTTAGAGATACTACAGTCAGCCTGCACGAGCAGTACCTTTAAAATGTCAAGCACAGCCCTTATGCTTTGAACACAAAACATACGTAGTTCAAGCACAAGGGATTCCTAGCAATGTAAAATTGTTCTGTAGAGTTTTGGTTTTGTTTTACGGGTACAGAATAGAACACAGACGCGCAGCCGTACTCTGTTTTCCATTCCTGTCTTCCAGTTCTGGTGTTGGATAGCAAGCCTGGCAGGAGAATGTGTCTCCTCCTGTAAGGGCACAATTTTGCAACAACCAGAACAGAAGTTTCTCAGCTAAAAAGAGGCAGGGAAGAGGCAAAGCATTATCAGAAACCGATGCTTATCCTTCTAGTGGAATTGATTTATTCTGTGCTACCTTTCTTATGATTCTGCATTTTTAGTGGAGGTGACTTTCAAAAGGAAAAGCAAATCCAGATCCTTTCTGAGACAAAAAGAGACAATATATATGTCTTGAATATTCCAAGACACTTTCAGACTGCTGCATCTGCTCACTTCTGGAAGCTTTTCTTAAAAAGATACACAGCAGCCTGCTAAATCCCACAGTATGAAAGTATGTATGATTATGTGGTTTGAGATGTGTGTTCACTTTGATTTTTAAGACAAGCTGAGACTTTTGTTTTCTGCTGAGTTAGAAGTCACTAACAGTTAAAATGAAATTCCTTCTCCTGAGATGTTTTTGGCTATTAGCCTATAACAAAAATGAAAACAGTCAATCTGATCTTGTGTCCCAATTTGTTTCTTCAGAGTTTTCCTGAGATAGAATCTGGGATATTTCTAAAAATCTAACATGAAAATGGTGGGGTTTCAATGCTCACTTCTGCTGTCACTCTTGTGGTTATGTTACAGCTCTATTAAGTATATGTCTTCCTCTTTTTTTTTTTTTTTCTTCCCTTCTGCCCTGTGGGTTTTTTGCCCATGTAAGGTAAATATTTTCAACAGTTATAGCTAAGTCAGGAGGTCAGGCCTTTATTACGATTCAGGTTTATAATTAAAGCAGCTACTAGTACAAAGGGTGAAAATCAAAGGTGATTGTCTTTAGCAGAGTCTGCAGCCCTTAAGGAGCACTATCAGCTTCAGCTTTTCTAAATAATCTCATGAGGAGTTTATCAGCACAGTACCAGGCTGAGGTGTTGGGTAAACCTACTCTTTGGGACTGATGTTGATTAACCACTGTGAAGCAAACAAGAGAAAATACTTGTTTGTACCTGATCTACTTAGAAATCTTAAACTTTCTTTAAAGAAAAGTTTGCTGGCTGTATCTGCCCTGCAGCAACCTGTTCTGCCTCAGCTTTTCTTTTTACTAGCCATCTGCATGCTCTGTACACACCACCCATGAACTCTAGGGCTCCTTTTGTGGTACTTGCAGAGCACTAAAATGCTAACAGTCACAAGGGTTTAGTTTTGACGTAATTCAGCTGCTAAAACTCTCGTTAATGCATCCTCTGAAATGTCATTACTTTTTTGGGGCGTAATAACCTACATGTTTTAAAAGGGAAATTCCAGACTCTGAAGCAAATGGCACAGTGATGCTGTGACCGAGTGGCAAAGCTGGAACTGAAACTGACTGGGAGAACAATGGGAAAAGAAACCCAACCTGTGATGATGACTGAGAAGTGTGATGCAGGAGCTCCTTACAGAGCCCTCCTGTCTCCCAGGCGTATTTCCACTGCCCAGGTGATCTGGCTGGTGCTTATCTTCACCTTGTTTCTTACAGGGGTGAGGTTTGTAGCATTACATTTTCTGTCATTTCCTCCTTTTCCTTCCCAGTGTTCTGAAATTTTGTAGTGGATTTCAGCCAAATTTAGTCTGAGGGCCTGCGGTGCGAGCTCACAATTTATCTGTTCTGCTTGGCTGGCTGCCTGATAAATACAGGCCTTCCCTCTCCCACCTGCCAGGGGTAGAGCGTGCTGGGGGTGGGAGGAGGAAGGAAAAATGTCAAAGATGGTTGTAAGAGGCCTGGGAGCATTTAGTGCCTGCTGGTGGCAGAGCTTGTGTGGGGGTCTGGCAGCATCGCTGGGGGTGAGACGGGATGGTGCGAGCACCATTTCCATGGGAAGGAAGGGGGATCTAGGAAACTGGTCCCTTGGTAGCCTGGCTTTGTTACTTCTGCTGCTCATGGGGCTGTGATTATGTCTGGGGGTTTGGGGCACTGTGAAAAATTACATAAGGCTTTACTGAGACAGCAGTTAGATCTCTTGCCTGCTCTAGAGAATCAGCACTCCCCAAAGTGCAAGTCTGGTGGCTTCCACAGCTGAAGTCCTTGGCTAATCCTTGGTGCCACGCAGGTGGCTGGATTCTTCAGTGTGTAGTTAGCTGCTGTCTAGAGACCGTGCTTGTGTAAGCGTTCCTGTGCTTAAGGGATCTGCCTTCACAGCAGTGATGGCCTTTCTTTTCAGCTTCCCTTTCTCCTTGTTCCTTTTGCGTTTTCTCCTCCATCCCTCCACCGTCGTTTCCCTTTCAGATCTGCTCGTAGAAACCACGTAGGCTGAAGGAGCAGCACCCTGCAGGCTGTACAGATGGATGCCTGTCTTA